TTCCCCCCGGATGGGGATTTGAGCCCCCAAAAGCCGGACATGTCCGGGAAAATCCGGACGTATGGTAACCCTACTAAAAATGCACTTATCAATCACCCCAGTAAAACCAGCGTCCATACTGTTGGCAATGCAAAAACCTCCGGCTCCCACTGACAAGCAGTGCCTTAAATTGATCGTTTGAATTCAGATGAGCCACTGAAGCGGGGCTATAATCGCTCTACTTTCCAGGCACATAGTAAGCGCAGGCGGATCTTCGGTGGGCCCCTGGACAACAAAGGCCCATGGAATGGAACTGGGGCTTTCGGAGGCCATAGTGAAAACCCCAGCCTCAAAAATAATCACAGCTGAATGTAACATCAATGAGGTTTTTTATAACTATGAACCATCGCTGTGTGTGTTAGGGGATTATATGTGGTAGTATAAGTTAATGTGGCCTTAGAATTTAGCTGTTGCTGCTGTGGAAGCTGTAGGTTGTTGCTGCAGAATTTGGTTCCATTGTGCCATGGCAACACAGGCCCCAGGTTGCAGTTCCTTCACGTCTGTATGTGATGTCACCTGCAGCTTTCCAGTGAGCTCGTAACACACTCTGCTTTTGTTTTTCACATTTTCCTTAGGTTCTGATGACTTCTCCATCACATCACAGTGTAGTCAGGTTTTGGTTAGTGCAGTGCATTGTTTGTGTCCATGCAATGCTACTGCACACGGCTTTAGCAGGCCTCCAGTGGCTATCCCACACTGCATGTGGGTGAGCTGCCCTGTCTGTTTACCTGTGTGGCCTCCCCTGCTCTCATTTCAAGTTGACTGGGCAGCCCCTCTCCTGTTTAAAAGTTGGCATAGGGCCAGATTTTGCCCATTTGCTTCTGGATTTGAGCCTATCAGAATTGCTGCAATATTACACCAGAAGCCCCACAACATGTAACAAGCAGCAGCTTGGAGCTGTGCTGACCCTAGATCTCATCGCCATCTGGGGAGACGCCTCGGTGCAGGAAGCTCTTGGGGCCAGCCACCATAATAAAGATCTTTTTGTGAATGTTGCTAAACAGCTGTCCATGAGCGGGGTCACGACTGGGCCAGTGCTGGATAAAAAGCACACAGCTCAGGAGGCCTTACACTAAAACCATAGATGACAGGCAAAAATCCTGTCCATTTTTTTGAAGAGCTGGACAGGATTTTGCACAACTACTGAACCCAGCTGACTGCTGTCTTCCCCTATCCCCTGAGGACAACCAGCAAAATTCATTGGAGAGTGAGCATGAGGAAGACAGTGAAGAGATCTCCCTGGAAAGCCAGATCTCTTCGGGACTCAGAACCCTGACACTGGCCTGGTAGAAGGCAAGCCGATTCCTGCCCTGCAGCACCCAGCGCTGATTCCCAGGCAGCAACCCAGGCCAGGACTGAGGAGGCCGATCCTATGGAAGGAACCTCAGCATGTCTAGCTTTACAATTGATCATTGTGCTATACTGCCGGGCCACCGTCCGTTCCAGGTGCCTCATGGCCGCAGCCAATGTAGGTGGATGAGCGCTAGGACACTTTCCAGTCCTCACCCCCTTCCCCCCGCCCTCAGCCCCCTTAGCCCTTTCTGTCCATTCAGCCCCCTCCCCTTACACATTTCCAAAATGGCATCTGCTCCAGCTGGGCAATCAGCCGCTTTCTCATGATAAAGACTTGACTATCAACCATTTTTAGGCCTATGCCCTGAAGAGCACATGCCCATCTATCTATTTTCATTTTCCCTTCCCTCATCTGGCCTTCAAATAAAACCCCTTCCTTCCCTCTCTCCACCCCATTCACCAGCTTAAAGTGACAGCCAGCAGCATGGTGCAGCAACGGCCTGTATCTCACCCTCTCCTCTCATGGCAAATTCGAATAATGAAAACATGCCTTTGGGGGAAATATGAGAGTTTATTGAGATACTGGTCCCCAAGCAATAAGTTTAGTTAGGGCTGGTCTACACTGGGGGGGGCGGGGGAGGGAATCGATCCAAGATACGCAAAGCTGAAGTCAAAGTATCTTGGATCGAATTACCTGGGGTCCAGACGGCGCGGGATCAACGGCCGTGGCTCCCCCGTCGACTGCGCTACCGCCGCTCGTGCTGGTGGAGTTCCGGAGTCGACGGTGAGCACGTTCGGGGATCGATATATCGCGTCTTAACGAGACGCGATATATCGATCCCGGATAAATCGATTTCTACCCGCTGATACGGCGGGTAGTGAAGACGTACCCTTAGTGCTCTCAGTTTACATGAGGTAGACTGGACATTCCATGTCTGTAAAGTTACAGAGAGGACAGCTCCCTGTCCCTGCTGAGATATAAAGGCCCCATTCCTACAGTACATAAGCTTTACTGTAGTGATAGCAAAGCTCTTAGGGTACATCTCTACATTGCAATAACAGACCCATGGCATGGCAGTGGTTGGCTCGGGTCAGTGGACTCGGGTTCTTGGGGCTCGGGCTATAGGACTAAAAATGGCTGTCTAGACGTTTGGGCTCAGGCTGGAGCCTGGGCTCTGAGACCCTGCAAAGGGAGGTGGACTGGGCTCCAGCCTGAGCCTAGACATCTACACTGCAATTTCTAGCCCTGAGCCCGGTGAGCCCAGGCTCTGAGACTCAGTGCTGTGGGGTTTTTATTGCAGTGTAGACATGGCCTTAGTGACTTTTCACAGTCTTACATACAGAAAGACTGATAACAGTGACTGCTTCACACAATCAATGCAGAATCCTATCTGTTTTTCTCTGCACTTTCATCATGTCTGCAGGGGAAATAAAGCAAAATGTAAGATTGAAAGATTGCTTAGCTTTTGTCTGGACATGATGAGAAATAGCTGCAGGGTCATTTCCCCCTGGTATAGCTCCCAACAGCATTTCTGGGGGGACCACCTTGGTGAATAGCT